GTGTGACAGGGGGCGGCGCCCCAACTCCCCAATCGGCCCTGCTCTGAGCCTGACCAGGGGCTGCACTTAGGGATTGGGCCTGCCCTCTGCCACCCGGGAGCAGGCCTAAGCCAGCCAGTCGTTATCTCCCGAGGGGTCCCAGACTGCGAGAGGGCACAGGCCGGGCTGAGGGACCCCCCCTTCCCCCCCGAGTGCACAAATTTTTGTGCACCGGGCCTCTAGTATAAATATATGGCCCCAGAGAGCTTCCTCACCCCTCCCACCTTGTGAGGACACAGGGAGAAGACAGCTGCCTATGAACCAGGAGGCAGGCTCTCACCAGACACTAAATTTGCCAGCACTTTGGTCTTGGACTTCCCAGTCTCAGGAACAGACATTTCTGTTGTGTATAAGCCACCTTATCTATGGTAATATGTTATAGCAACATGAACAGACTAAGACAGAGCATTAAAGAGTATAGGAATATGTTATTCAGAGCAGTATTTTGATTATACTTTAGTGGTCATCAGGTACCCATCTTATCCGATAAAATATTGATTCCATTCTATGTGCTTAATATAAGCATTCCATGTTGTAAGATGAAATTTCCATATTCAAGGAATGCACGAATGAATGAATGAATGAATGGCACATATATTGGGCTATTGACCAATTTAACGAGGAAAATGACTGACGGCCGTTGCAAAATTCACAAGCCTTGTAAAATGATTGATAAGAATGTAATGATAAAACTTATTAAGTAAAAACTAAAGAAAATTAAGTATTTTACAACCATTATAAAAATCAGTTCTATAAGATACCTTCACAAATTACATTTTGAATTTTAAAACTTAAGCTTTATATACACCTTAAAATTTTGCTTACATCGGGCTGTGTTTCTCCCACTGCCAGAGACTTGGAGACCCCTGCGTAGACTCTGCTCCTGATAGAATAACCCAGCATCAGGGGAGCAGCTTGTCTGTGTGCCGTTTGGAGTTGGGTGATCCCCCAGCACATCCCTGTATTGGAGAACATGTTGACTATTTTAGATGCAGTTGGCACACTGTGCTTTGTTTATATGAATTCGATCTCGTTGATAGGTATTTTCGCACTGTGAAGTATATAGCCATGATGCATACCCCTGAAAACTGAGTTTTCAGGAAACACCACTGTAAACTTCATAAGCATTTGAAGAGAATGAAGTGTATGAAATAACTCAGTGTATTTTTTTGAGTGTGTAATTTAAAAAGGTAGCAACGTCACTTACGTTTTTTATATTTTATTAACTGAATAACTGAAGAGTTTAATAAAATCTAGTGGCATTTCATACATTTTATAATAGTTTTATGATAGATACTCAATATAGGTGCTTTAAAGAAATCAAGCTCAAAAATAAAAGTCAATTTCATTAATTAAAAAAAATGTTTAGGGGAAATCTAGGTAATTGGTGTACTAACACAATTTCCGGGTGCTAATTTTAAGAGCACACATAGCTCTTTGCAAGTAAATTTATGGTATTCAAATCTTGGACTAGTTCCAGAAGGCTTAAAAGCCCATGAGATATTTGGAAACCACAGTTTATTCACTTACCTGGGTAGTTTTGTGGTGTGTGAGTGAGGATGCGAGAGTAAGGAATAAACTCACTTTAAAGCTTTGGATGAAAGAGAACATGATTATTTTGGTGTGATGGTCCCAGCAATGATTGAGCTATGTTGTAGAGAAATACGTTTGTTGACATTTTAATGGGGAGAATTGTCTGTAGGAAATAAGAGATCTGTAACCATGATTTAATAATCATATTTTCTAAAAAACAATATAATACTAAAGATTGCTCATGTGATTTGATCTAGTGATTAAATATTACATAGTTATTTATCTGATATATGTGTCTGATAAATATGTGTCCACAAGGTCACATCTGTGTGAGAGTTCAAAATAAAGTCCTTAAGATATATCTATATATCTCTCTCTCTATATATATAGATAGATAGATAGATAGATATTTTAAATATACTTGATTGATTTTTTACAGAGAGGAAGGGAGAGGGATAGAGAGTTAGAAATATCGATGAGAGAGAAGCATCAATCAGCTGCCTCCTGCACACCCCCTACTGGGGATGTGCCTGCAACCAAGGTACATGCCCTTGACCGGAAT